TCACTGAATTAGTTCCACAAGAATCTCCAGATACCACTGTCTTGATTGAAACACAAGAAGTTAAACCAATAGATGAATCTGAAACTACTGTCGACATAATTAGTAAGAAAAAGATTATTAAACCCAAGAAAAAATCTATTGCTACTGAAGAAGTGATTCCAAAGGAAGAGATATCAACAGTTGAAGACACGATATCTGTCACTGAATTAGTTCCACAAGAATCTCCAGATACCACTGTCTTGATTGAAACACAAGAAGTTAAACCAATAAATGAATCTGAAACTACTGTCGACATAATTAGTAAGAAAAAGATTATTAAACCCAAGAAAAAATCTATTGCTACTGAAGAAGTGATTCCAACACAAGAGATATCAACAGTTGAAGACACGATAACTATCACTGAATTAGTTCCACAAGAATCTCCAGATACCACTGTCTTGATTGAAACACAAGAAGTTAAACCAATAAATGAATCTGAAACTACTGTCGACATAATTAGTAAGAAAAAGATTATTAAACCCAAGAAAAAATCTATTGCTACTGAAGAAGTGATTCCAAAGGAAGAGATATCAACAGTTGAAGACACGATAACTATCACTGAATTAGTTCCACAAGAATCTCCAGATACCAATGACTTGATTGAAACACAAGAAGTAAAACCAATAGATGAATCTGAAACTACTGTCGACATAATTAGTAAGAAAAAGATTATTAAACCCAAGAAAAAATCTATTGCTACTGAAGAAGTGATTCCAAAGGAAGAGATATCAACAGTTGAAGACACGATATCTGTCACTGAATTAGTTCCACAAGAATCTCCAGATACCACTGTCTTGATTGAAACACAAGAAGTTAAACCAATAGATGAATCAGAAACTACTGTCGACATAATTAGTAAGAAAAAGATTATTAAACCCAAGAAAAAATCTATTGCTACTGAAGAAGTGATTCCAACGGAAGAGATATCAACAGTTGAAGACACAATAACTATCAYTGAATTAGTTCCACAAGAATCTCCAGATACCACTGACTTGATTGAAACACAAGAAGTTAAACCAATAGATGAATCTGAAACTACTGTCGACATAATTAGTAAGAAAAAGATTATTAAACCCAAGAAAAAATCTATTGCTACTGAAGAAGTGATTCCAAAGGAAGAGATATCAACAGTTGAAGACACGATAACTATCACTGAATTAGTTCCACAAGAATCTCCAGATACCACTGTCTTGATTGAAACACAAGAAGTTAAACCAATAGATGAATCTGAAACTACTGTCGACATAATTAGTAAGAAAAAGATTATTAAACCCAAGAAAAAATCTATTGCTACTGAAGAAGTGATTCCAAAGGAAGAGATATCAACAGTTGAAGACACGATATCTGTCACTGAATTAGTTCCACAAGAATCTCCAGATACCACTGTCTTGATTGAAACACAAGAAGTTAAACCAATAGATGAATCTGAAACTACTGTCGACATAATTAGTAAGAAAAAGATTATTAAACCCAAGAAAAAATCTATTGCTACTGAAGAAGTGATTCTAACACAAGAAACACCAGTTGAAGACACGATAACTATCACTGAATTAGTTCCACRAGAATCTCCAGATACCACTGYCTTGATTGAAACACAAGAAGTTAAACCAATAGATGAATCTGAAACTACTGTCGACATAATTAGTAAGAAAAAGATTATTAAACCCAAGAAAAAATCTATTGCTACTGAAGAAGTGATTCCAACAGGAAAGATATCAACAGTTGAAGACACGATAACTATCACTGAATTAGTTCCACAAGAATCTCCAGATACTACAGTCTTGATTGAAACACAAGAAGTTAAACCAATAGATGAATCTGAAACTACTGTCGACATAATTAGTAAGAAAAAGATTATTAAACCCAAGAAAAARTCTATTGCTACTGAAGAAGTGATTCCAACGGAAGAGATATCAACAGTTGAAGACACGATAACTATCACTGAATTAGTTCCACAAGAATCTCCAGATACCACTGACTTGATTGAAACACAAGAAGTTAAACCAATAGATGAATCTGAAACTACTGTCGACATAATTAGTAAGAAAAAGATTATTAAACCCAAGAAAAAGTCTATTGCTACTGAAGAAGTGATTCCAACGGAAGAGATATCAACAGTTGAAGACACGATAACTATCACTGAATTAGTTCCACAAGAATCTCCAGATACTTCAGTCTTGATTGAAACACAAGAAGTTAAACCAATAGATGAATCAGAAACTACTGTCGACATAATTAGTAAGAAAAAGATTATTAAACCTAAGAAAAAGTCTATTGCTACTGAAGAAGTGATTCCAACACAAGAAACACCAGTTGAAGACACGATAACTATCACTGAATTAGTTCCACAAGAATCTCCAGATACTACAGTCTTGATTGAAACACAAGAAGTTAAACCAATAGATGAATCAGAAACTACTGTCGACATAATTAGTAAGAAAAAGATTATTAAACCCAAGAAAAAATCTATTGCTACTGAAGAAGTGATTCCAACGGCAGAGATATCAACAGTAGAAGACACGATAACTATCACTGAATTACTTCCACAAGAATCTCCAGATACCACTGCCTTGATTGAAACACAAGAAGTTAAACCAATAGATGAATCAGAAACTACTGTCGACATAATTAGTAAGAAAAAGATTATTAAACCCAAGAAAAATCTATTGCTACTGAAGAAGTGATTCCAACACAAGAGATATCAACAGTTGAAGACACGATAACTATCACTGAATTAGTTCCACAAGAATCTCCAGATACCACTGTCTTGATTGAAACACAAGAAGTTAAACCAATAGATGAATCTGAAACTACTGTCGACATAATTAGTAAGAAAAAGATTATTAAACCCAAGAAAAAATCTATTGCTACTGAAGAAGTGATTCCAAACAAGAGAACAACAGTTGAAGACACGATAACTATCACTGAATTAGTTCCACAAGAATCTCCAGATACCACTGTCTTGATTGAAACACAAGAAGTTAAACCAATAGATGAATCTGAAACTACTGTCGACATAATTAGTAAGAAAAAGATTATTAAACCCAAGAAAAAATCTATTGCTACTGAAGAAGTGATTCCAAAGGAAGAGATATCAACAGTTGAAGACACGATAACTGTCACTGAATTAGTTCCACAAGAATCTCCAGATACCACTGTCTTGATTGAAACACAAGAAGTTAAACCAATAGATGAATCTGAAACTACTGTCGACATAATTAGTAAGAAAAAGATTATTAAACCCAAGAAAAAATCTATTGCTACTGAAGAAGTGATTCCAAACAAGAGATATCAACAGTTGAAGACACGATAACTATCACTGAATTAGTTCCACAAGAATCTCCAGATACCACTGWCTTGATTGAAACACAAGAAGTTAAACCAATAGATGAATCTGAAACTACTGTCGACATAATTAGTAAGAAAAAGATTATTAAACCCAAGAAAAAATCTATTGCTACTGAAGAAGTGATTCCAAAGGAAGAGATATCAACAGTTGAAGACACGATAWCTGTCACTGAATTAGTTCCACAAGAATCTCCAGATACCACTGTCTTGATTGAAACACAAGAAGTTAAACCAATARATGAATCTGAAACTACTGTCGACATAATTAGTAAGAAAAAGATTATTAAACCCAAGAAAAAATCTATTGCTACTGAAGAAGTGATTCCAACACAAGAAACACCAGTTGAAGACACGATAACTATCACTGAATTAGTTCCACAAGAATCTCCAGATACCACTGTCTTGATTGAAACACAAGAAGTTAAACCAATAGATGAATCTGAAACTACTGTCGACATAATTAGTAAGAAAAAGATTATTAAACCCAAGAAAAAATCTATTGCTACTGAAGAAGTGATTCCAAAGGAAGAGATATCAACAGTTGAAGACACGATATCTGTCACTGAATTAGTTCCACAAGAATCTCCAGATACCACTGTCTTGATTGAAACACAAGAAGTTAAACCAATGGATGAATCTGAAACTACTGTCGACATAATTAGTAAGAAAAAGATTATTAAACCCAAGAAAAAGTCTATTGCTACTGAAGAAGTGATTCCAACACAAGAAACACCAGTTGAAGACACGATAACTATCACTGAATTAGTTCCACAAGAATCTCCAGATACCACTGTCTTGATTGAAACACAAGAAGTTAAACCAATAGATGAATCTGAAACTACTGTCGACATAATTAGTAAGAAAAAGATTATTAAACCCAAGAAAAAGTCTATTGCTACTGAAGAAGTGATTACAACGGAAGAGATATCAACAGTTGAAGACACGATAACTATCACTGAATTAGTTCCACAAGAATCTCCAGATACCACTGWCTTGATTGAAACACAAGAAGTTAAACCAATAGATGAATCTGAAACTACTGTCGACATAATTAGTAAGAAAAAGATTATTAAACCCAAGAAAAAATCTATTGCTACTGAAGAAGTGATTCCAAAGGAAGAGATATCAACAGTTGAAGACACRATAACTATCATTGAATTAGTTCCACAAGAATCTCCAGATACCACTGWCTTGATTGAAACACAAGAAGTTAAACCAATAGATGAATCTGAAACTACTGTCGAMATAATTAGTAAGAAAAAGATTATTAAACCCAAGAAAAAGTCTATTGCTACTGAAGAAGTGATTCCAACACAAGAGACAACAGTTGAAGACACGATAACTATCACTGAATTAGTTCCACAAGAATCTCCAGATACCACTGTCTTGATTGAAACACAAGAAGTTAAACCAATAGATGAATCTGAAACTACTGTCGACATAATTAGTAAGAAAAAGATTATTAAACCCAAGAAAAAATCTATTGCTACTGAAGAAGTGATTCCAAACAAGAGAATCAACAGTTGAAGACACGATAACTGTCACTGAATTAGTTCCACAAGAATCTCCAGATACCACTGTCTTGATTGAAACACAAGAAGTTAAACCAATAGATGAATCTGAAACTACTGTCGACATAATTAGTAAGAAAAAGATTATTAAACCCAAGAAAAAATCTATTGCTACTGAAGAAGTGATTCCAAACAAGAAACAACAGTTGAAGACACGATAACTATCACTGAATTAGTTCCACAAGAATCTCCAGATACCACTGTCTTGATTGAAACACAAGAAGTTAAACCAATAGATGAATCTGAAACTACTGTCGACATAATTAGTAAGAAAAAGATTATTAAACCCAAGAAAAAATCTATTGCTACTGAAGAAGTGATTCCAAACAAGAGAACAACAGTTGAAGACACGATAACTGTCACTGAATTAGTTCCACAAGAATCTCCAGATACCACWGTCTTGATTGAAACACAAGAAGTTAAACCAATAGATGAATCTGAAACTACTGTCGACATAATTAGTAAGAAAAAGATTATTAAACCCAAGAAAAAKTCTATTGCTACTGAAGAAGTGATTCCAACGGAAGAGATATCAACAGTTGAAGACACGATAACTATCACTGAATTAGTTCCACGAGAATCTCCAGATACCACTGCCTTGATTGAAACACAAGAAGTTAAACCAATAGATGAATCTGAAACTACTGTCGACATAATTAGTAAGAAAAAGATTATTAAACCCAAGAAAAAATCTATTGCTACTGAAGAAGTGATTCCAAACAAGAGACACAACAGTTGAAGACACGATATCTGTCACTGAATTAGTTCCACAAGAATCTCCAGATACCACTGTCTTGATTGAAACACAAGAAGTTAAACCAATAGATGAATCTGAAACTACTGTCGACATAATTAGTAAGAAAAAGATTATTAAACCCAAGAAAAAATCTATTGCTACTGAAGAAGTGATTCCAAAGGAAAGAAACAACAGTTGAAGACACGATAACTATCACTGAATTAGTTCCACAAGAATCTCCAGATACCACTGTCTTGATTGAAACACAAGAAGTTAAACCAATAGATGAATCTGAAACTACTGTCGACATAATTAGTAAGAAAAAGATTATTAAACCCAAGAAAAAATCTATTGCTACTGAAGAAGTGATTCCAAAGGAAGAGATATCAACAGTTGAAGACACGATATCTGTCACTGAATTAGTTCCACAAGAATCTCCAGATACTTCAGTCTTGATTGAAACACAAGAAGTTAAACCAATAGATGAATCAGAAACTACTGTCGACATAATTAGTAAGAAAAAGATTATTAAACCTAAGAAAAAGTCTATTGCTACTGAAGAAGTGATTCCAACACAAGAAACACCAGTTGAAGACACGATAACTATCACTGAATTAGTTCCACAAGAATCTCCAGATACCACTGTCTTGATTGAAACACAAGAAGTTAAACCAATAGATGAATCTGAAACTACTGTCGACATAATTAGTAAGAAAAAGATTATTAAACCCAAGAAAAAATCTATTGCTACTGAAGAAGTGATTCCAAAGGAAGAGATATCAACAGTTGAAGACACGATATCTGTCACTGAATTAGTTCCACAAGAATCTCCAGATACCACTGTCTTGATTGAAACACAAGAAGTTAAACCAATAGATGAATCTGAAACTACTGTCGACATAATTAGTAAGAAAAAGATTATTAAACCAAGAAAAAATCTATTGCTACTGAAGAAGTGATTCCAACAAAGAGAACAACAGTTGAAGACACGATAACTATCACTGAATTAGTTCCACAAGAATCTCCAGATACCATTGTCTTGATTGAAACACAAGAAGTTAAACCAATAGATGAATCTGAAACTACTGTCGACATAATTAGTAAGAAAAAGATTATTAAAACCAAGAAAAAATCTATTGCTACTGAAGAAGTGATTCCACAACAAGAGACAACAACAGTTGAAGACACGATAGCTGTCACTGAATTAGTTCCACAAGAATCTCCAGATACCATTGTCTTGATTGAAACACAAGAAGTTAAACCAATAGATGAATCTGAAACTACTGTCGACATAATTAGTAAGAAAAAGATTATAAAACCGAAAAAAAATCTATTGCTACTGAAGAAGTGATTCCAACAACAAGAGACAACAACAGTTGAAGACACGATAGCTGTCACTGAATTAGTTCCACAAGAATCTCCAGATACCATGAATTGATTGAAAAACAAGAAGTTAAACCAATAGATGAATCAGAATTTACTGTTGATAATTAGTAAGAAAAAGATTATTAAAACCGAAAGAAAAAATCTATTGCAACTGAAGAAGTAATTCYACAAMAARAGACAACAACAGTTGAAGAKACTATAGCTGTCACTGAATTAGTTCCACAAGAATCTCCAGATACCATTGTCTTGATTGAAAAACAAGAAGTTAAACCAATAGATGAATCTGAAACTACTGTCGACATAATTAGTAAGAAAAAGATTATTAAACCGAAAAAAAATCTATTGCAACTGAAGAAGTRATTCCACAACAAGAGACAACAGTTGAGGATACGATAGCTATCACTGAATTAGTTCCAAARGAAACTGCAGATACCATTGAATTGATTGAAAAAYYAGAAGTTAAACCAATAGATGAATCTGAAACTACAGTCGACGTAATTAGTAAGAAAAAGATTATAAAACCGAAACGTAAATCTATTGCAACAGAAGAAGTAATTCCACAACAAGAGACAACAACAGTTGAAGACACTATAGCTGTCACTGAATTAGTTCCAAAAGAAACTCMAGATACCATTGAATTGATTGAAAAACCAGATGATAAACCAATAGATGAATCTGAAACTACAGTCGACGTAATTAGTAAGAAAAAGATAATAAAACCGAAACGAAAATCAATTGCAACTGAAGAAGTGATTCCACAACAAGAGACAACAGTTGAGGATAAGATAGCTATCACTGAATTAGTTCCAAAGGAAACTGCAGATACCATTGAATTGATTGAAAAACCAGATGTTAAACCAATAGATGAAACAGAATTTACTGTTGATATCAGTAAGAAAAAGATAATAAAACCGAAACGAAAATCWATTGCAACTGAAGAAGTAATTCCACAACAAGAGACAACAACAGTTGAAGACACTATAGCTGTCACTGAATTAGTTCCAAAAGAAACTACAGATACCATTGAATTGATTGAAAAACCAGAAGACAAAACAATAGATGAATCTGAAACTACWGTCGACGTAATTAGTAAGAAAAAGATTATAAAACCGAAACGTAAATCTATTGCAACAGAAGAAGTAATTCCACAACAAGAGACAACAACAGTTGAAGACACTATAGCTGTCACTGAATTAGTTCCAAAGAAACTGCAGATACCATTGAATTGATTAAAAAACCTGAAGACAAACCAATAGATGAAACAGAATTTACTGTTGATATCAGTAAGAAAAAGATWATAAAACCGAAACGTAAATCTATTGCAACAGAAGAAGTAATTCCACAACAAGAGACAACAACAGTTGAGGACACTATAGCTGTCACTGAATTAGTTCCAAAAGAAACTCCAGATACCATTGAATTGATTAAAAAACCAGAWGTTAAACCAATAGATGAAACAGAATTTACTGTTGATAATCAGTAAGAAAAAGATAATAAAACCGAAACGAAAATCAATTGCAACTGAAGAAATAATTCCACAACAAGAGACAACAACTGTTGAAGACACTATAGCTGTCACTGAATTAGTTCCAAAGGAAACTGCAGATACCATTGAATTGATTAAAAAACCAGATGTTAAACCAATAGATGAAACAGAATTTACTGTTGATATCAGTAAGAAAAAGATAATAAAACCAAAACGTAAATCTATTGCAACAGAAGAAGTAATTCCACAACAAGAGACAACAACAGTTGAGGACACTATAGCTGTCACTGAATTAGTTCCAAAAGAAACTACAGGTACCATTGAATTGATTGAAAAACCAGATGTTAAACCAATAGATGAAACAGAATTTACTGTTGATATCAGTAAGAAAAAGATAATAAAACCAAAACGTAAATCTATTGCAACAGAAGAAGTAATTCCACAACAAGAGACAACAACAGTTGAGGACACTATAGCTGTCACTGAATTAGTTCCAAAAGAAACTSCAGATACCATTGAATTRATTAAAAAACCTGAAGACAAAACAATAGATGAAACAGAATTTACTGTTGATATCAGTAAGAAAAAGATTATAAAACCGAAACGAAAATCTATTGCAACTGAAGAAATAATTCCACAACAAGAGACAACAACTGTTGAAGACACTATAGCTGTCACTGAATTAGTTCCAAAAGAAACTGCAGATACCATTGAATTGATTGAAAAACCAGAAGAAAAACCAATAGATGAAACAGAATTTACTGTTGATATCAGTAAGAAAAAGATTATAAAACCGAAACGAAAATCTATTGCAACTGAAGAAGTAATTCCACAACAAGAGACAACAACAGTTGAAGACACTATAGCTGTCACTGAATTAGTTCCAAAAGAAACTCCAGATACCATTGAATTGATTAAAAAACCAATAGATGAACAGAAAACAATAGTAAGAAACAAGAAAAAATCTATTGCAACTAGTGATTCCACAACAAGATTAGTTCCACAAGAATCTCCAGATACCACTGTCTTGATTGAAACACCATTGAATTAATTAAAAAAAACAATAGATGAAAGTTAAACCAATAGATGACAGAATGAAACAAGAAAAAATCTACTGTTGATATCAGTAAGAAAAAGATTATAAAACCGAAACGAAAATCWATTGCAACTGAAGAAGTAATTCCACAACAAGAGACAACAACAGTTGAAGACACTATAGCTGTCACTGAATTAGTTCCAAAAGAAACTCCAGATACCATTGAATTGATTAAAAAACCTGAAGACAAACCAATAGATGAAACAGAATTTACTGTTGATATCAGTAAGAAAAAGATAATAAAACCGAAACGTAAATCTATTGCAACTGAAGAAGTAATTCCACAACAAGAGACAACAACAGTTGAAGACACTATAGCTGTCACTGAATTAGTTCCAAAAGAAACTCCAGATACCATTGAATTGATTAAAAAACCTGAAGACAAACCAATAGATGAAACAGAATTTACTGTTGATATCAGTAAGAAAAAGATTATAAAACCGAAACGAAAATCTATTGCAACTGAAGAAATAATTCCACAACAAGAGACAACAAGTTGTCTTGATTGAAACACAAGAACAGTTGARGACACTATAGCTGTCACTGAATTAGTTACAAAAGAAACTACAGATACCATTGAATTGATTAAAAAACCTGAAGACAAACCAATAGATGAAACAGAATTTACTGTTGATATCAGTAAGAAAAAGATTATAAAACCGAAACGTAAATCTATTGCAACTGAAGAAGTAATTCCACAACAAGAGACAACAACAGTTGAAGACACTATAGCTGTCACTGAATTAGTTCCAAAAGAAACTMCAGATACCATTRAATTGATTAAAAAACCTGAAGACAAACCAATAGATGAAACAGAATTTACTGTTGATATCAGTAAGAAAAAGATTATAAAACCGAAACGAAAATCTATTGCAACTGAAGAAGTAATTCCACAACAAGAGACAACAACAGTTGAAGACACTATAGCTGTCACTGAATTAGTTCCAAAAGAAACTCCAGATACCATTGAATTGATTAAAAAACCTGAAGACAAACCAATAGATGAAACAGAATTTACTGTTGATATCAGTAAGAAAAAGATTATAAAACCGAAACGAAAATCTATTGCAACTGAAGAAGTAATTCCACAACAAGAGACAACAACAGTTGAAGACACTATAGCTGTCACTGAATTAGTTCCAAAAGAAACTCCAGATACCATTGAATTGATTAAAAAACCTGAAGACAAACCAATAGATGAAACAGAATTTACTGTTGATATCAGTAAGAAAAAGATTATAAAACCGAAACGAAAATCTATTGCAACTGAAGAAGTAATTCCACAACAAGAGACAACAACAGTTGAAGACACTATAGCTGTCACTGAATTAGTTCCAAAAGAAACTCCAGATACCATTGAATTGATTAAAAAACCTGAAGACAAACCAATAGATGAAACAGAATTTACTGTTGATATCAGTAAGAAAAAGATTATAAAACCGAAACGAAAATCTATTGCAACTGAAGAAGTAATTCCACAACAAGAGACACAGTTGAAGACACTATAGCTGTCACTGAATTAGTTCCAAAAGAAACTCCAGATACCATTGAATTGATTAAAAAACCTGAAGAMAAACCAATAGATGAAACAGAATTTACTGTTGATATCAGTAAGAAAAAGATTATAAAACCGAAACGAAAATCTATTGCAACTGAAGAAGTAATTCCACAACAAGAGACAACAGTTGAGGATACGATARCTATCACTGAATTAGTTCCAAAAGAAACTGCAGATACCATTGAATTGATTAAAAAACCTGAAGACAAACCAATAGATGAAACAGAATTTAGTGTTGATATAAATAAGAAAAAGATTATAAAACCGAAACGAAAATCAATTGCAACTGAAGAAGTGATTCCACAACAAGAGACAACAGTTGAGGATACGATAGCTATCACTGAATTAGTTCCAAAAGAAACTRCAGATACCATTGAATTGATTAAAAAACCTGAAGACAAAACAATAGATGAAACAGAATTTACTGTTGATATCAGTAAGAAAAAGATTATAAAACCGAAACGAAAATCTATTGCAACTGAAGAAGTAATTCCACAACAAGAGACAACAACAGTTGAAGACACTATAGCTGTCACTGAATTAGTTCCAAAAGAAACTCCAGATACCATTGAATTGATTAAAAAACCTGAAGACAAACCAATAGATGAAACAGAATTTACTGTTGATATCAGTAAGAAAAAGATTATAAAACCGAAACGAAAATCTATTGCAACTGAAGAAGTAATTCCACAACAAGAGACAACAACAGTTGAAGACACTATAGCTGTCACTGAATTAGTTCCAAAAGAAACTCCAGATACCATTGAATTGATTAAAAAACCTGAAGACAAACCAATAGATGAAACAGAATTTACTGTTGATATCAGTAAGAAAAAGATTATAAAACCGAAACGAAAATCTATTGCAACTGAAGAAGTAATTCCACAACAAGAGACAACAACAGTTGAAGACACTATAGCTGTCACTGAATTAGTTCCAAAAGAAACTCCAGATACCATCGAATTGATTAAAAAACCTGAAGACAAACCAATAGATGAAACAGAATTTACTGTTGATATCAGTAAGAAAAAGATTATAAAACCGAAACGAAAATCAATTGCAACTGAAGAAGTRATTCCACAACAAGAGACAACAACAGTTGAGGACACTATAGCTGTCACTGAATTAGTTCCAAAAGAAACTCCAGATACCATTGAATTAATTAAAAAACCTGAAGACAAAACAATAGATGAAACAGAATTTACTGTTGATATCAGTAAGAAAAAGATTATAAAACCGAAACGAAAATCTATTGCAACTGAAGAAATAATTCCACAACAAGAGACAACAACTGTTGAAGATCACTGAATTAGTTCCAAAAGAAACTACAGATACCACTGAATTGATAAAAAAGTTGAAGACCAATAGATGAAACAGAATTTACTGTTGATATCAGTAAGAAAAAGATTATAAAACCGAAACGAAAATCTATTGCAACTGAAGAAATAATTCCACAACAAGAGACAACAACAGTTGAAGACACTATAGCTGTCACTGAATTAGTTCCAAAAGAAACTCCAGATACCATTGAATTGATTAAAAAACCTGAAGACAAACCAATAGATGAAACAGAATTTACTGTTGATATCAGTAAGAAAAAGATTATAAAACCGAAACGAAAATCAATTGCAACTGAAGAAGTGATTCCACAACAAGAGACAACAGTTGAGGATACGATAGCTATCACTGAATTAGTTCCAAAGGAAACTACAGATACCATCGAATTGATTAAAAAACCTGAAGACAAACCAATAGATGAAACAGAATTTACTGTTGATATCAGTAAGAAAAAGATTATAAAACCGAAACGAAAATCTATTGCAACTGAAGAAGTAATTCCACAACAAGAGACAACAACAGTTGAAGACACTATAGCTGTCACTGAATTAGTTCCAAAAGAAACTCCAGATACTATTGAATTGATTAAAAAACCTGAAGACAAAACAATAGATGAAACAGAATTTAGTGTTGATATAAATAAGAAAAAGATTATTAAACCGAAACTAACATCTATTGCAACTGAAGAAAAGGATTTATTACAAACAATTCGTTTACCAAAACCAACTCAAGAAGAAATTGTTTATTTTTCTTTAGAAGATAAAAAAATAGATATAAATGATATTTCTACTGATATTACTATAAAGAAAAAATTTAAACCTAAAGTTAATATTGAACAGGAATTTGATGACATTTCTATTGATAAACAGAAAAATATTGATTATAAAGATAAAGATATTTTAAGTGAAGTTAAAGACATTGATATTCAACTAACAGAAGATATTCATTCAGATGACAAAAACATTATCTCTGAAGATAATATTATTTACAAAATAAAATCAAAACAAAAAGATTATAATGAAAGTGAATTTAACTTAAGAAAACACTTAGTAGAGGATCAAAAATCTGAAGAATTTTCGATTGATTTATGTCTTCAACAAAAACAATTAGAATCTGAAGATTCGATGACAGAAATTACAATTAAAAAGAAATTAAAAATAAAATCTCCGATCGATTCTCAAAGTTGTGATAATTCGAAAACTTTAGACACAATTGAAACTAAAGACGATTCAAGTATTTATATTCCTTCTGATAATATCAAACAAAAAATATCTTTTATTTCTGTTGAAGAAGAAGAAGACTCTTTACATACATTTCGGTTACCGAAACCAAATCAAGAAGAAAGCGCTAGTTTTACGTTGGATGAGAAAAAGACAGACATTAATGATATTTCGACTGACATTACTATAAAGAAAAAATTAAAACCAAGAGTTATAATCAAAGAAGAAATCTTTGACATTTCTGATGATAATAAACCAAAGATTGAGAGAAAAGATGAAGAAAATTTAGGTTTTGTTACGTTTCCTTCTGAAGATAGTGATAATGAAAGTCAAATAATGAATTTAAGACAAAGAGTTGATATCGTAGAAGAAAGTGCTGACATTTGTTTAGATAAAAATTCAGATATCGATTATAAAGACGAGTCAAATGTTGTTTCGATAACCTTTCCCACAGATGATAGTGATATCGAAACGCAAACATTTAAATTGAGAAAAGATCGCAAAGTAATCAACGAAGAAGAAGATCAGGTCTTTAATATTGCTCTTAAAAGAGGTCCAAAAATTGAAGAAACGAGTGAACTATTTGAGAGTGAATTTAGTATTAAAAGAATTACTGAATCAAAAGTTAAAGACTTTTATTCAGAGACTGAAAAGAGTTTTCAATTGTTTTTAAATCAAAAGAAAAAAACAGAAAAAATAAAATTTGAAGAAGAATTGGATGAAAGCGAAACTGAATTGACTCTCAAACGAGAGCGAGATATTAAAGAACTAAGTGTTACGACTATCAGAAAAGACATTCAGGTTTTGATTATATTTATAAAATTTTTATTAAAATGAATATTATATTAATACAGTATTTATTAATTAATTAAAGGTTCAAGAATTGATTGCAACGATGACAATGGTCTCACAAACACCAGAATTGTTGTCTGTATCAGAAGGAGATCGACTGTATGTCGTTGAAAGGCATACAAGCGACTGGTGGTTCGTTAGAAAGAGATTAACCAACGAAAGTGGTTATATTCAGTCCCGTAATGTAGTCGACACCGACACCTATACTAATATACTTAAGGACAAAGTCGTCCAAAAGATAGAAAAATTGCCGATTTATCAAAGTATTGATTTATCACAAAACTTATAACTAATTTAATAATATTTAATAAATTTATGTATTTATTAATTTAGTCGAAGAACCGGATGACACATTTGCACCGCGATTTGTCAAACGTTTTCAAAGTATTAGCGCATCAATTGGCGAAAGAGTAGTCTTCGAGTGTCAGGTTGAGGGCAATCCCAGGCCAACAATCACATGGTTTAAACACTCGGCTATTTTGAAAGAAAACAATGAAATAAAGATGTTTTACGAGGAGAACAATATAGCAAAACTCGTTATCATAGAAGTATTCGCTGAAGACGCGGCTAAATATACAGTTGTAGCCAAAAACAGTGTCGGATATGTTTCACATACGGTTGATCTTAATGTCGATGGTATTTAACATTTAAATTTTATTTGTTATTGATTTCATTGACATTTACTAAATTGTTGTTTTATATTTTCAGTCGAAGACATCTTAGACATAGAATCGGTGGCCACAAGTCGTAAGAGTATGTCTCGCGAGTCATCTCTGGCCAACATAATAGAAGGCATACCTCCTGTGTTTGCAGAACCGCCAACAAGTGTTGAAATCAAAAGAGGACATCCTTTCACTTTGGAAGTCTGTGTCAGCACACAAACAAAGCCAAAGATTAAATGGTTTAGAAATGGAAAAGAAATCAAAGAAACAAAACGAATCAAAATGACATCAATTGAAGATATTTATCACTTTAAATATCAGTTACACTTTGAAAAATCTGTTGATGACGAAGGAGTGTATGAGATATTTGCTGAAAATAATGACGGAAACGCTTCAACTAATATCGTCGTCTATTTCGAAGATAACAAACAAAAGCCTCAATTTATACAAAAATTTGATGATCTTATTGTTGAAGAAGAGTCTGATGTGACTCTTGCTGTCAAATATACAGCAAATCCAAGACCTGACATATATTGGTTTAGAAATGATAAAACAATTAAAAGTCAAACAATTAGTTTTAAACAAAAAGATTACACAAATGAAAGTCGTATTACATTAGAAAAAGTGATCAAAGATAAGCATTCGGGTGTTTATAAATGTGTGGCCATTAATGCCGTCGGAAAATGTGAACATTTGGCTCAACTTCGAGTTATAACCAAAGGGTTGAGATTTATTGAAAGATTACAAGAATTAGAAGTTCAAGAAAATAGTCAAACATTATTAGTGGTGAAAATCTCGAGTGAAGAGGAAGACGTCAAATGGGCTAAAGATGGCCAACAAATCGATTCAAATGATCTAAACTATGAATTTATTAAAGAAGGCTTTTATCGTAAATTACTCGTAAAAAATACACGAATTGATAGCGAAGGAGAATATACGTGTGTTTTGGGTACTGATAATGAATGTTCAGCCGATCTCATTGTCATTGAATTACCGCCAAAGATATTAACTAAATTAGAGGATAAAATATGTGTTTTGGGACAAACTGTTAGTTTTAATATTGAAGTTTCAAAAGGAGATGCTATTGTCGAGTGGTTTAAAGATAATTACGAAATCAAATTTAATGACAGAATTAAATTGACAATTAATGGCAAACAACAAGAACTGATGATTATTAATATCACTGAAGACGATGAAGGAGTTTATAGCTGTAAATTAGGTCAACAAAAATATAGCGCTAAACTTAAAGTAGAGTTAAAATCAGTTGAATTCATACAACAAGATGAAGAGTCAGTTAGTATGGATGATAATATTGTTGAACCGTCACCACCAATGGGTCCATTGATGACATCTGACAATACAGACAATTCGTTTACATTGAATTGGAATCCACCAAAAAGTGACGGAAATTCAACAATAATTGAATACATCATCGAAAGGAAGGAAAGCACTAAAAAAATTTGGCAAAAAGTATTCAATTTTCTATCATTTTTTAAACAATTTAAATAAATTGTTAATTTTTATTTAAAGTGTGGATCAGTTGATGGAAATACGTTGTCATTGAATGTGACGAATCTTAAGAAGGAGATGGCCTATCATTTTCGCATTACTTGCAGAAACAAAGTCGGCATAAGTTTGCCATTGGCTACGGAAGAGACTATCACACCTCGAAGCAGGTTTGGCGCGCCATCAATGCCCGGCCGACCACTTCAAGTCATAGAAATGACTAACACATCGCTAACATTGTCGTGGACTAAGCCGTTATCGACGGGTGGCGTTGAACTCACTTCTTATATACTCGAAAGACGACTTATTTCTGAAAGCAATTGGATTAGAGTCGACACAATTGATCCACAGATAACTAACTGTACCATTAAAAACCTGTCAGCAAAACATCAATACTTTTTCAGAGTTATTGCTGAAAATCCTTTAGGACTCAGTCCTCCACTTGAAACAGAAACTGCCCTCAAGTTATCCCTTACAGCAGGTTTGCACACTCTTTACTATAATTAATACAAAAAACTCTTTGTTTATCATATGATTTATATAAATAATTTATAAATAAAACAAACAGATAACCCAGGAATACCTACGGGACCTCTTGAGACACGTATAGTAGGTCCGAGTGCTATAGTTGTCGAATGGGGCAAACCTGACACCGATGGCGGCGCACCTATACTTAGCTATGTTGTGGTAGCCAGAGATGTAAGAAGAACAATGTGGATGGAGGTATAACCATATTATCATAAAAAATAATAATAATAATAATAATAATAATAATAATAATAATAATAATAATAATAATAATAATAATAATAATAATAAATAACTTTAAATTAATAAAACATTTAGCAATAAACTAAAAATTTCTAATATCACTAAAAGGTGGGTCACGTCGAGGCAGACACACATCGACTTCAGATTAAAGACTTACAGGAAGGACATCAATATTTAGTGAGAATTATGGCCCGAAATGAAGTCGGACTCAGCGAACCCTTAGAAATGTTTGAACCGTTAAAACTTGTCAGACCTCCAGGTTTGCCATCAGTTTCAATACATTTTGCATTCACTTAATTCACAAAAACAACTTTCACTTAACGCTAATTGCTTTCAATTAAAATAAAAGTAAACTAGAAATTAATTCAAATGATAAATACATATTATTATTAAATAACTATTACAGTAAAATCTGATTGAAAATTGTAGAATCAATTATTGACTTGATTAATTTTTATTGAGTTAACAATGTTGCAATTCATTTTTTTTAATTACTACTATTTTTAGTAATTATGATTTTGTTTTATTAATTTTAAAACTATCTAAAAATAAGTAATTAATTCTAGTTATTAGTTTTTTAAATAATAGTTGGTTTTAGTATTTTCTCATATGATATAAGTTTAGTATTACCGGTAACTTTGCAATAGTTACATATACTGTAGTATTACTGACGCAATGCACAAAAAATTAATTAATTTTTATATCAATAATAACTAATTAATTAAATAATTATTTTCATACTTTATATATCGACAAACTATGTATTAATAATTAAGACAAACCTTTATATTATTTCAGGAACCACTGAATGGGAACAAGAGGTGGAAGTGGAAAGGGCTGACACACCGTCACTGAGTTTCACTACAACCGAGACCTCGTCGTGGATGAGAGAGGCCGGCGTTGAGGCCAACATCACATCATATACTAGACATAGACTTCTTCACCGAAGAGAATACTTCTTCAAGTTATGGGTCAATGCGGACAAACTCTTCAAGTGATCTATTGTTTCACATGTGATATCATATATAGTTTTATTCGTATATTAATAGATTAACTATAGATATAAGATATAATTACAACTAAATAGATAAATACATTAATAATTAACGAAAATAACTTTAATGTGATTATAATTACTATAATAATAATATATTTTATTGGTTTAAAAACCACATGTTATCTATTAATTATATAATTATTTTTAAAAATATTTTATTGAATTTATTATAATATTAATTTCTTTAAACTGTTAAAATTCGTTAATTGTTTTAGTTTTATTGTTTTGAATTGTTATTTATGTTTATTATTATGTTAAATCTTATTAATGTTATTTTATTGATAAAGTTATATTATAAATAAAAGTTTAAAATTATAAATATGAAACAATTTTGTTAATTTCAATAATAAACTAAATTAATATTTTGTAATCTAGTGTAAGAAAATATCATAATTCACTATTATGTTAATGAATCACTAAATTATAAAGTATTGATAAACTTATTTTAAATTTTATTATCAATAGGTCTAATACAGTACATTACATAAGTAATACAAGTATTTCTAATACAGGTATTATTATTTGCTATTTGTTTATTAATCCCTTACTGATTATTATTGTTATATTTCATAGAAAAATATAATAAAATCTTTTATTTTTATTTGATTGATATAATTAAACACTAAATTTATTGTCTTTGAATGAACTAAACATTGTTAATGTCATTCATATCTAAACAATGTATGACTTACTGGTTGATGACCACTGATGTCACGTATAATTTGTTTCATTTCTTTTCATTACTTAATATTAACTTTTTATTATGTCATTAATTGAACACTAATTGATTAATACTTAAACTATAACTAATTTACTTTCATTGTTTATAAAATAATGTTTGGCTAATACAGTACATTGTTTTTGAAGTTTAACCGCTAAAATAATAGTCAAGTTTTACTGTTTGTCATGAAAAATAAAAATCTGTTATAAAATATAATTTTTTGATGTCATTAGTGCCCAAAAAAGTCATTGCACTGAAAGTTAGTGTCATCACAGCCTTTATCGGAAATCTACAGTCATTATAGTATTAATACATTATATTACTTATAATTTTCAAATTTAATGAAAAAATAATCACAAAAAAACTTATTTTATTAAATGTGTCACTTAATAGTTCATATAATTAATGAAATGGGACTCAATTCAGAGCAAACACTTATTTTTAGTTTTAATGGCAAATCCATTGGTTTGTAATCAGAGTTGGACTGTAATGAAAGTAAAGACTATTTTTTTCTTAAAATTTCATAATTATAGTAATTTTCAAATCAAACTAAAATTAACTTTCTATTTAACTATTGGTACCACTTTTCAATTATTTGTATTGTATTTTATAAATTGTATATAATTTAAAATTATATACTTATTGTATATATATTTTAAAATATTTAAATTGAATTAGATTATTACAATTATTTTTATATTTAATAGTCATAATAGTATTTAATGTAACATTCATAATGATACAGTTAAATTTGTAAACTTTATATACATAATAATAATAATATTAATTAATTGATTTGAATTATTATTTAGACGAAATGATTGGCAACAATAAAATAATAATAAAAATTATTATTTGATAAATTGTTAGGTGTTTAGTCGTATAAAAGTTATAAAATTATTTAAAATATACAATTATGACAAAAATAACTATTATTAAAAATATTTATAAAATATTTTATGATTTCCTATATAATTTATTTCAATATTTTTAAATATCTCTTTTCATATATATTTAATAAATGATAAAGTATTTACTATAAATGTACAATTATTTAATATTTAGCATTACTGTAATACAATAGCTTATATATAAATATTTAAACTCACAACTTATCAAATTTACTTTTATAAATTATAATTTTATAATTTAGAATATTGTCATTAATTAATTTTTATTTATAATTTACAGTATATTATAGCAGATTAGCGATTTTTATAAAGATTTAATATATTTATTAATTGTTTTATATAACATATAAATTTTTATAGTAATTCTAAAAGTGATACCAATTATCACTGACTATAGAGTTAAGTTAACAATTTAATAAAATAAGTTTATAAATTCAAAAATTAGTTATAGCTTATAGTAAATATACATAAAATTAATATAAGTTGTATTTTATCGACTTATTTATATATAAACTGACTTTTGAATTGTTTAAATTTACTTTTGAAAATATTTTTCTTTCAACGTAACTTTATTTACTACTATTTAAGTACTGTTATTTATTTAATAAACAAACAAAATTTGTAAACTATTGATTTAAAATGTGTTTGAAAATCAATAGTCTTTCGTAAAGTTTTGTAACAATAGTGATATAATTTATATCAAATTTACGATAATAGTAATAGTTTATGGACTTTCTTTACTATCTTTAACCCTTTAATTCAATAGACATTTATTTTATTGCTTATTTTAATTAATTAGTATATATAATATGTAATTAATATATTTATTTGATAATCATAATTTTATAAAATATTCAACATTGCATATCTATCGTCAATATTAGTGACCTATTTCTTAATATAGTTAATAAAAACAGTAATAAACTACTGTAGTGTACATTACATGTGAATACCGGTGTAATGCTTACATTAAATGTAAACTTGTTTTGAAGTTTCGGTCGGTTTTGTCTAAACTATTGCTAAAAACTTTGGTTTCATTGACTTTAAACCTAATCTCTAACTGGAGCTCAGGGTTTGTCTCATTAAACTTGTACTTCAATTTGTTGAATAACTTTTTCACTAAATATAACTTTTTCTTGAATTTTTGAAAGCAATAAGTTTAGTGTTGAGCGAAAAAGAAATTTCCTAAAAATATATATAATTTTTGGAAATTTTCTAAGCATTGGAAAATCTAAAGTAATCTATAGATTGCAATGCAATTATATAATAGATTCATATTAGACATATCAGTAGTAAAATAATATATAAATAAATGTATTAATCAATAATTTTTTACTGTACTAAATAGTATAAATTAAATTGATACATTTTATTTCACTTATTAGTATAAAAACTTTAAAAAATAATTAATTATCATATTCAATATAAATGTATTATTTATTTATTAATTAAAACTATTTTTAAGAGAGTTTTTTTTAGAAAATTGTTCATGGGAAATTTCTTTAAAAATTATTTGTCTAACACTAGATGTTATATAAAGAATTTTATTATCAATATTAATATTAATATTGAAATTAAGGTCAAGTTTTGAATTATTAATTAAGTTATAAATTTTACTTTGAATATAATTATTAGACAACAATTTTTATTACACTTTTCCAAATAAAATACTTTAAAATGATGTAAATATATATTAATTTTAGTTAAGCATATTTTTATAATTAGTTTCAAATATCTTTTCAAATTACAATAATATTAAAAAACAAAATTATATACAATAAATACCGTATATATAGACACTATTACATATTATTAATAACTTTGCTGATTTTATTTTCTTTAAATAATTTTTAAGTGTAAAAAATAAAATAATAATTTTTAAGTACAAAACTGTAGATTTATAATATGTTTATTAATATCGATATTATAAATCCACCTAACAGTGGATAACCAATTAACGGACGGATAAACTAAATAATTAAATATTTATGTTATTTGTTAATCAATTGTTGTCATAAAGGGGTCATTTGAGAGCTATTTATATGCCCTCTCATAAAGTAATGTAAAATTAGTAAAAAAATTGGACACAAATTCACAATTAGATCCCAATTAGGACAACGTCTGGTTAACGCAATAGTGGATGAAATAAAGGGTAAGTTTGAAAATTAATTATAATTAAACTAATAATTAATTAATTAATTTTTTATTTTTTATATACAGGTTAAATATCTAAGAAAATATTAGTAAAGAGAATAAATTTTTAAAAAATTTTAAAAATAGTTTTATTAATTTATTAAATTATTTTTCTCTAATCCCCATTCAGCGGACGGACCACAAAACATTGAATTAAAAATTTTTGTCCATAAATTATGACCAAAAATTAAAAATTGTATAAAATCATTAGATTATACCGTATGACCTCACATTAAATGATTTTCACAATTTTTACCGTATAACCTCACATATAAATGATTTTCACAATTTTTACCGTATAACCTCACATTTAAATGATTTTCACAATTTTTACCGTATAACCTCACATTTAAATGATTTTCTCAATTTTTACCGTATAACCTCACATTTAAATGATTTTCTCAATTTTTACCGTATAACCTCACATTTAAATGATTCTCAATTTTTACCGTATAGCCTCACATTTAAATGATTTTCACAATTTTTACCATATAACTATTTTTAATATGGGAATACGGTACTTTTTCAAAAAAACTATTTTTAATATGGGAATACGGTACTTTTTCAAAAAAACTATTTTTAATATGGGAATACGGTACTTTATCAAAAAAAACTATTTTTAATATGGGAATACGGTACTTTTTCAAAAAAACTATTTTTAATATGGGAATACGGTACTTTATCAAAAAAAACTATTTTTAATATGGGAATACGGTACTTTTTCAAAAAAACTATTTTTAATATGGGAATACGGTACTTTATCAAAAAAAACTATTTTTAATATGGGAATACGGTACTTTATCAAAAAAAACTATTTTTAATATGGGAATACGGTACTTTATCAAAAAAAACTATTTTTAATATGGGAATACGGTACTTTATCAAAAAAAACTATTTTTAATATGGGAATACGGTACTTTTTCAAAAAAACTATTTTTAATATGGGAATACGGTACTTTATCAAAAAAAACTATTTTTAATATGGGAATACGGTACTTTTTCAAAAAAACTATTTTTAATATGGGAATACGGTACTTTATCAAAAAAAACTATTTTTAATATGGGAATACGGTACTTTATCAAAAAAAACTATTTTTAATATGGGAATACGGTACTTTATCAAAAAAAACTATTTTTAATATGGGAATACGGTACTTTTTCAAAAAAACTATTTTTAATATGTGAATACGGTACTTTATCAAAAAAAACTATTTTTAATATGGGAATACGGTACTTTATCAAAAAAAACTATTTTTAATATGGGAATACGGTACTTTATCAAAAAAAACTATTTTTAATATGGGAATACGGTACTTTATCAAAAAAAACTATTTTTAATATGGGAATACGGTACTTTTTCAAAAAAAACTATTTTTAATATGGGAATACGGTATTAATTTTAAAAACATGAGTTAACTATGGGAAGACGGTAATATGATTGCTTATAAGATAGTTTAAATATATATTTGAGTTATTACGGTATTATTTCATATATAAATTAAAAAATATTATTTTCTTAATTAGTGACATAATTGATGCCCATTTTGATCGATAGATGTATTGTTTATATTATTTGTTATAATTTATCCGTCCGTTAAAAGGTTGATATATCATATACAGTATAAAAAACTTTTACAATTATAACTAGTTTTATACATATTTGCTGAATTAAATTTACATTATTATAAAATGAAATAAAGTATATTTGGGAGTACAGTATATTATTATTACATTAATTGCTTAAATTAAAGTTTAAACAAAATTTAAATTATTATCATCATTAGAAGCTAAATACTTATACTACTTATTTAAATATATATTAGGGGTAGTTCACATATTACGTTCGAACTTGAGGGGAGGGGGTTGGTCAAAGCGAACTTTTGCTAACGAGGGGAGGGGAGGGTAGAAACTTTAAGTACGTTCGCATTTAGATAATATTTTATTTCTTGTGGTGGGGGGGGGGTTAGCGGTTAGGGACATGCAAACTTATTTTTTTTTAAATGACTACATGCGTACAATTGCGAACATAGTGGAAATTTTTAAAAAGTGCGAACGTAATATGTGAATTGCCCCTTATTTATAATGATCTATAATAAGTCAGTGAACTACGTAAACATTATTATATTGGATCAAAAATATTAATTTATTTAACAAAAATATAATACCTGTATATAATAAGCTTTTAATAAGTATTTATAATAATAAAAATCTAAAATATTTGACATTTGGGAACATATTTGCATAATACTAGCATTTAAATTGATCCACACCCTTTAATTTAATCAGACAATATTGTTTATAATGTTAAGATAATCTTATAATTTATTTAATCTTAACGATAAAAAATTAAGACATTATTATTAAATGAATTTCAAGGATCTTATAATTGATTTTATATTAAAGTAAAACTTTTTTATTTTATTTCTTATGAAATATTATATATTTGTAACATTGAACCAGAAATTTCACATCTATTAGCAAAAAACACTTCAAAAATCAAAAATCGTTGCCAAAACTCTATTTATTTGAAAAATGTAAAATAAAACAAAATTAATTAATTAATTAATTGAAAATAATATGTGTATTGTTTCGGAGAAATTGATTACTAAATTAATTTTGAGGCAAAGTTTAGTTTGAATCTCTCTCTCTCTCTCTCTCTCTCTCTCTCTCTCTCTCTCTCTCTCTCTCTCTCTCTCTCTCTCTCTCTCTCTCTCTCTTTAAAGACATTGTGTGTCTAAACAGGAAATAAGAGTCAGTGGGTTATTAGGGAAGGTTCTGTAGGATCAGTTGGATGTATGTTTGGCTGATTTGAGCGCTGAATTGGGTCGACAAACACCGTGTTTTGCCGTACAGTGCGCTCAGCCATACCTGTAGTGCCAATAGTGACGAGCATTCACTGCAATCGTTAGTCAAACACCAGTCGACTACAAATACAGACACAACTGTTTGCCGACAGAGCCGTTAAACATACGGTTAATGTGTTGTTATGTTTTAATTGAGCGATAGTTTGATTTTTGTTGCCTCACATGTGATTATTATCATTACTATTACTTTTATATTATCATCACTTCAATGATGTTTCTCTCACAACATTTTTTTCTGGTGAGTCTACTATCATATTAACTCTTTAAACAATATAAATAATTATTAACTATTTATTCAAATATTATTTATCTTTATTGCCTTAAAAACATTGTTTGCTATCATATTTTAACTTTATTACTCTTATGCAATACAATGTCAATATTGACCATATAATAAATAATAATTACAATTTTTTATGTTTAATATTTATTTAAAATATGATTTAGTAGCAGTTGTTATGTTAAATATTTACTAAAATATACAGTACTGTACAATCAATTTTATTATAAAAAAATTATTTAATTTAAATATTGTGTTATGTGTAACCATATAAAATTGAAAGCTAATATAAATATAGTAAATTATAGTATATGTTTATTTCAAATACTGCATACAAACTTGAATTATAAAAAATTATATTTTTTTGAAAAAACTACTTTGATTGCAATTTATTCATACAGTATATGCTAACAGATATAACTTTTAATAAGTAAAATGCCTTAAAGTGTTGTGAATATAGAAATAGAGTAAATAGTATGAAATAACTGTTTTTTCAAAATGTATTTTCTTCAATACATTACTTTTGTCCCACTTTTATAATAAGATATTATTACTATTATCAGTGGCTGTAAGTTATAAGATACTGTTTGGGGGAAAAGTAAAACTATATTTTATTATATAATACTTTAAGCAATTGTCATATCATTTCCGGATCACACAAACACTTCTTTACTTCAATTGCTTTAATATTAATTTTATAGTCATTTAAATTGATATCAATATTTTTTTGACAAATTAGTTTAAATATTATGATTAAATATAATTAAAAATTTTATTAATTTTTTTGTAAATTATTTGTCGATAACATAGCATTTTATTATTAATATTATTGAATGAATACTGATTTATTAAAGTTCTAATTATTAGAAATGTTATAAAAAATATTATTTAATAAAGATGTTGTAAATGAGGTTTTTGACAGACTTTATAACTTATCATTTGGTGTTATCATTATATTTATATATATTTTTGTTATTTAAGTTATTATATAAGTTATTAATAACTTATTAAATAATAAAATTTAAGGCAACTTTTTTAAATGTCGACATCAGCTAAATATAGATACACTTTTCGCATTTATTTTGAAAAATATTATTTTAAGATATTTGAATTGTAATTAAACTTTCTCGTTATGCTTTTTAAATTATCTAATAAATATTTTTGCAAACAATACAATAATTTAACAAAAGTTTATTGACAATAAAACATTTCAATCAATGATATTTTTTAAAATTATTATTTCTCTAATATAATGTAAAAAAGCCAAAACATGTATGAAATCATATTTTTAGATTACAAGCCCAACCCATAAATAAATTAAAACAAATATTTGCCAAATCATTATATTATTTAAATATCTATTTTTCTTAAGATTATATTAAAATAATTATTCAAAAAATTATTTATAGTAATAAAAATTTATAGTAAATAAAATCTCTTTTTTTGTTTTACTAAATAAAAAAATATAAAAAAGTTATTCTAATTTTACTTTTCATTAATATTGAGATCTTTTTTATAAATCTAATTATTTTATCCAAAAATAATTTTTAAATAAAAATAAGTAATATATTGCTCTTTAATGATAATATCATACCGTTTTCGAAATAAATAGAAAATTAATATGTTTAATGCAAATATTTTTATGTTAAAAGCAACAATTTATGAACCAATTTCAAGAAAACCTTAATAAACATTATTTTGTTTTTAGTTCACAGATATGTAGATAAAAGCAATCATTCAATGAGTTCAGACATTTAAAGCTTTTTTAATATACAATGACTGCAACATTGAATGAATGAATGAATGAATGAATGAATGAATATTCCTTAACTATTGTTATTTATGTAATAAATCATTAAAAAATTTCACTTTAGCTATGTTTTTCCATTATATATATATTGAAAACTTTTATTTATAAAATTAAACTAAATATTTGTTTTTTATAAATATTTATATTAATTTTGTTTTATAAATTATTATTAAAACTATAATTAACGAAAATATATCATTTTCTATAATTACACAATTATAAGTATAAAATAAGTTTCGATTCATTTGTACTAATTTATCATATTTTTTATGTGTTATATATAAAAATCATTTTAATGATAATTGAGTTTTAATAATTTGAATTAATCCTATAAATGGTATTAAATACATTGTTTGTCAATGTATTTGATTTTACAATAAATTGTCTCTACAGGTGATTAATAGACAATTTTGTTAAATTATTTTTATAATTTATTTTACAAATTATTTATGTTTAATGAATTTAAAGATTATGTGTTTTTGTGTCCAACGGGCCTACGCTTTGCCGCTAGAGTCGGGCGTTTGCCGTTAATACCAGTCTCTAGTAATTGACTGACTAGTTATGTATATATTTATGTCACTAATTATATACATATAATTTGCATTTTATGAGATTATTATGTATAAGGATTTTAAAATGAAATACAATGAATCAGACGTTTACTTTAAATGGATATAAATGTAAGTTATTGTAGTAAACATAAGGAGTATATGTTATCAAATAATTAATGACAAATACAATGTTAAGTCATTGTTGGCGACTATTGTTTAAATGATTTTAAAATTCACTTTTTCTTGTTGTTGGTCAACAATAACAATGCATTTTAAAATTGCTAAATAATGACCCATTTTTACAATTTACATTATTTTAATTAGTTTTAAAAATTACAAGTGTTTTATATTTATACTTTTAAAGTTTTATTATAATAAACTTAAATTACAAAATGTTATTAAACACAAAATTCAAATTATAATGATAAATTTATATAAATTTTGTATTATTTTGTATTAAATTTAAAAAAACATAAGTTTGATATGAATCATATGATTTATTGATCTCAAAAGACATTTAATTTGTAAAATATTATTAATCAGATCTGGAATACAGTTTATTTGAATTTTTATGATATAAATTTTGGTTTAAAAGTATTGTTCATATTTTTTATTATTTCTATTATAAATTAAGTAAAATTTATTATTTTCATTATTTAAGTTATTTTATATCACTTGTGATTATATTTAGAAAATTAAAATAATTGAATTAACTAAATATTTTTAAAAATAAGACGCCTTTTTCTTGACTTTAATGAAAAATTGAGAAATAATTTTTGTGTGTATTATAATTTAGAAACAAAATTATTAATATTGTTATTATAATTATATATTACACTTATCTTAAATGTATATGTAATTTAAACAATCTTAAGCATCTAATATTAAATAAATATATATATTTCACTTTATTATTTATACTGCATAATACTGTACATATAATTAATTATATAATGTTATGTTACATAACTTATGAAACTCATAGTAATGGCTATTGTGATGGCATATAAAATATTATATATTGACCCATATTTTCTCAATTTACACAACATGTAAATGTATATTTTGGCCAAAAAAGATCATCAGACAAATTGAATGTCACATAAAAATTGACTGACCTTTTAAAAAGACTACTAATATATATTATATATATATATATATATATATTTATACTTATGATAAAGTGTAAACCATGTTTTAAATTACTGTATATTTATATATACCGGTATATATATATATATATATATTGTATTTTCAAATTGAAGTCTACAACAATCACAATAACCTAAATTTGAAGCATTTTTCACTATTTTCTCCATTCATTTGCTATATTTTTAGTGGTTTGAAGAGTCGTTAGAAATCTAAGTTAGGAAAACAATAGATGTTATATTGATTATAGATTAAATGTTTAAAATTTTTATTATTTTGATATTTATATATTTTATGAATTATTATGACTTATTGCATTTATAAATAAAATAGTAGTATTAACAAGTGTCCTTTAATTGATAATGTCAATGTCAATATTAATTTAATTTAATATTAAATAATAATCGTTATATTTGACAAAAAAATGAATAAATAATTAATTGTGTTTTTAGAATAATTCTTAAGCATCAAATAAAATTGAAGATTTTATCATTTTTATCAAATAATTATAATTACATATTTGATTAATAATTTGATGACTAATATTGTAAATGATCATTGGTTTACAAGTCTAATAGTAATAAATAAATAAATAATTTCAATGGCATTATTAGTATAGCTTACAAATTGCAAATATCGCCTAATTCTCAATTAAACCAGTTTTGCAATGATTTTGTGTGTTTATGCTCTAAAAAATAATCAATCAATGATTCAAAGTCTCTATTAATTAATTAATATATTTGTTTTTATAGACAATTTTATTTTTGGTGACTCTCCTGGACTCATCTCTCACAGACAGTCAGTTTATTTATTTATCATTTAAATGTTATTTATTTTAATAAAAAATATGTTTTTTTGAAACTGTTTTTAAAAAGATAATCATTTAGTAAACAAAAGAGCAGCCAATGACCTAAAAATAGTGTGTTATTACTCCAATTGGGCGGTATATAGACCCGGATTAGCTAAGTTTACGCCACAAAATATCAATCCATATTTATGCGTAAGTTTTATTGTTTTTTTTAATCATAAGTTTATATTAATTAATCTAATATAATACACTTATACATATAAATTTTTATAGACACATCTAATCTATGCATTTGGAGGATTATCCAACAAATTTGAATTGAAAGCTTTTGATCCATACAATGATTTAAATCAAGGTAATAAACATAAATGTTATTTATAAAATATTTTTGTTTTAAGTTAATATTAGTATTTGATATTTCTATTAGTAATATTAATAATGATATTATTTTATTAATATTATAAAAATTATTATTTAAATAAATAAATTTTAATTTAATGATAATAATTATAAGGCAATTACAAAAAGTTTGTTGGCCTTAAAGCATATAATAAAAAATTGAAGACTTTATTAGCCGTCGGCGGTTGGAATGAGGGATCAAAAAGGTTTAAATATATTAATTATATAATTAATAATTATATGAAATGACAGATACATGTCATCACCAATAGGTTCTCAAAACTAGTCGCAACTCCAGAACTTCGCCAAACATTTATCAATAGTTGTCTTAAATTCTTGAGAGACCATAACTTTGATGGTCTCGACTTGGATTGGGTAACAAAATTGAAATTACTTTTTGTTATATTTATTACAAATGTTAAGCAATTAATGTTTAATTACCTGTAATCAGGAATATCCCGGTTTTAGGGACGGCAGCTCTTCTGAAGACAAACAAAATTACGCCAAACTTATTAAAGTAAGCAAACAATAAAAATTTGTGTTAAATTGAATTGAATTTTAATTATTATAAAAATTGCAAATTCTTTGCAACTCTTAAAATACAATAACAAAAATTTCTACAGATTATTGAAATTTTACATACATTTGACCCCTTTTACAATAAAAACAAACTATAATTGTATTTATTTTATTGTCAAATAACTCTTTCTTATCTTTTTACAATAATATAAGAAATTGAAATGTTTATAAACTTGTATTTTACTTGTACTTTGAATAATTGTTATATCAATTTAATTCACACATTCAACCACTGGTTTTATCTACGATTAACTCTCTCTCTCTCTCTCTCTCTCTCTCTCTCTCTCTCTCTCTCTCTCTCTCTCTCTCTCTCTCTCTCTCTCTCTCTCTCCTATAAATAATTGAGGGCACCGTCTGTTTATTGATATATGCCTTATGGCAATAATTTCTGAAAATACTATATTTGTTATATCTATTATATTTATAGTGTATTTTATGAAAATCTATGTTTAAATTTGTAATTTTTCTTTTGTTTTTACACAAATATATCGCTATTTACTATATAATCAATCGTAACACTCGTAACACTTTACAATCATAAGAGCAAATTTTTTTAACCTAAATATTATATTAACTCATTTACTTATAGATTAAAAGTTATAATAATTAATTTAATCAGAAATATTTATAAAAATAATTAAATAAATATATATTATATTAGGAATTAAGACAAGCCTTTGACACTGAAAAATCTTCGGCGGGAAAGGAGAGGCTTTTATTGACGGTTGCGGTTCCGGCGGGTCAGGAGTATATCGACCAGGGATTTGATGTGCCAACCATTTCACGGTTTAATATTAGAATAAACTTTATATACTAAATAAATGTCTCAAATAAACACTAAATTTTTGCTGTTTTGACCAACAGTTACGCAGATTTTCTCAATGTCTTGAGCTATGATTATCACACGGCATTTGATCCCGAGACAGACCATCATTCACCACTTAAAGCACGACCAGATCAGAGCCGATTTGAAGAGTCGAGTAAATTTAATACTGAGTGGACTATTAATTATTATATACAGTTGGGAGCTCCGAGAGATAAATTAATATTAGGAATTCCCACATATGGTCGATCATTTACTTTAGCTGATCCTAACAAAAATGGTTTGACTGCACCAGCAGACGGTCCGGGAGAGGCCGGGCCATCGACACGAGAAAAGGGTTATTTGGCTTTCTATGAAATTTGCCAAAAGATTGAAGAAGAGGGTTGGTCTACACAAAGACCTTCTCCTCAAATAGAGGGTCCCTTTTCTTACAAAGACAATCAATGGGTAGCTTATGATGACATACAAAGTGTTGAACAAAAAGTTAGATTTATATTAGACGCAGATTTGGGAGGAGCTATGGTCTGGACGTTAGATAACGACGACTTCAGAGGACAGTGTTATGGAGAACAAAGTCCTCTCATAAATGCCATTAAGACTGCACTCACAAGTAATATAGTTGAGGGCAGTTCTAGTGAAAGATCTTCTCCGAGATTTATAAGACCCGGTCCTCAAAGTGTACCAAACGATGAGAGATCTCTTGCAGCTCTTAATGTAAACACTCGTAGAAATCAATTGAGAAGAATTCAATTGCAATCAACAACATCTACGACAACTACAACCACTACAACAACTACTACTACAACACCTGTGCCTACATTTAAGGAAACAATATTACGTACGACACCCGAACCTCCACCGACACCAGATCCGGGCACTGCGTTTGAATGTGAAGACGAAGGCTTTTTCAATAATCCCAAAGATTGTCGAAAATACTTTTGGTGTCTCGACAGCGGACCCGCAAACCTGGGAATCGTTGCGCACGCTTTCACGTGTCCTTCGGGACTATATTTTAATTCAAAGTCAGAGGCCTGCGATTACTCAGAGAATGTCAACTGTAAGAAACCACCCAAAGAAGATGTCACCACAAGAAAGCCTAAACTCAGAACCAAACCGCCAACAACTACTACAACTACTACTACAACAACTACAACACCTCCACCACCAACTACGACAACAGCTGCCACAACAACACCTTTTGATTTGAGCGATAGGGCAAACATTGAACTATTGTCTACAGCTTTAAGACAATTAAATAGAGCCCAACAAAATGGTAATACCAATGATATCTCACAATTGGTTAATTTGATCCAATCATTAGGAGGTGTCGATAAAATTCAATCACTTATAGGACCATCAGTTCTGTCAAATCTCGACGATAATAAAGTATCATCTCCTGCGACGACACATAACTTTTTTGAGCCCTCGTATGTGACACCCAATCGACATTTAGAGGTCACTCAACCACCTCCTGAATCTTTTACTGACATATCATTATCTTCTGGTATCAGACGTGAACCTCAGGGTCAAGTGAGACCTCGAAGACCACAATTTGATACTACATTACAGACAACTACTGCTAATCCCATCTTTTCATTTTATGAAACGCCAAAAAGCAATCGCAACACTAATTTAGACGCAAATCGTGAACCAAACGCACAATCCTTTGCTTTTACTTATAATACTCCGGGCGGTCGAAACACAGGACAAGAGGGCAGTATCAATGAGGCCTCCATTTCCAGGCCTTCCATACAATTCTTTAATAACTCCGCGCGATTAGGATTACCATCGACTCCAAGAAGTATTTTTGTGACCGACTCTCCACTTGAAAGACCGAGATCTCGATCTAATCAAGTAATCAGAGTTCCTGTTAGTGTTTCCGAAGGAAGAATTGTCAGATTACCGATCGATTCAAATGATAACAATCGTAATCCACAAACAGCTCGAAGAGTTAGAGTTCAAAGTGCTTTCTCTGCGGTTACAGAAAAACCACAATCAGGTGTTGTTTACGACGAAGAGATTACTTCAAATGCCCCAAAACCACAACCAGTTCCTCAATTGAGACCACAATTTGCATCACAATCACTACCTATAGAGTCAAGCACTCAACAGCCTATAAGAAGACGTTTTCCGAACCGATTTAATTTGAAACCCATTTCTGATGAAAATCCTGTGTCAGCGCTAATCAATCTTCCGCCGAGAGCTTCAAATTCATTACAGAACTCACGGCCACAAAGACCTCAATCATTGGAAGATTTGTCACTTCCAACCACAACAGTGTCACCGACAACTGTCTTCAACCAACTGCGTCCCCAACCGCACCGTTTTACTAATTATAATACACTTCCGCCTGAGTTTGATATATCGCCATTTACTACACCGGCCGCACCTTATTTTGATATAGAAAATGCGTACCGAGTGGTCACTACAACCACTTCGGCTCCGACCACAATCACTACAACCCGTCAGCCACTTCCACAACCAATCAGACATTCTCGTCCTCGACAACAGTTACCACAACCGATTGCAGTGACCACCCAAAGGCCAAACAGAAGACCAACAGCTGCGGTGACAACTGAAGAACCGGTCACTCAATTTGACGGACCGCCCATTTTCTCAGAAAATGACGGCAAAATTGGTTGCGGAAAACGAGGAGTTTATGCTCACCCGAAAAATTGCGGAATGTTTGTGGTGTGCGCTCCGGCCTCTCGGACTAATAAAAATCTTCGGGCGCTTACTCATCATTGTCCCGCTGACCAGGTCTTTGTCCAGGAAGTCGGCAGATGTCGGCCCGGAAATAAAGATCGTTGCGAAGTCTTCTGATCTGATAATTGTTATTATAATATAATTTAATTTTTTTTGTTTTATCAAATCTGATTGCCATTACATTCAAATGATTTTTTAGTCATTATTTTTTTTTGAAATAAAATATAATTTTTTATGCGTTTTTATTAAATCATATTTTTTATTATTAATACATTAAATGTCAAAATGTGTTAACTTTAATCATTTTGAAAATGATTTTAATCATTTCAAACATATTATCATTTATATAAAAGAATAAAATAATTTATATTATTATAGATATAAAACTAACAGTTGTTGTTATTATAAATATTATTATGTTTTTCAATTAATACAATAAATAAAATTATTTTAAATTTTGTCTCAACATTTAAGTATAAAAAGTAATTTATTTGCTTATAAGATTATAATAAGGAACTAATTTATAACTTATATATAATTTTTTTTAATTAATAAAATTGTCATCATATTTACATTAATGTTATATTTTTAATTATAATTAATTTTAATATGTATTATTAGACACAAATAATTTATTTATTAATTATTTCTTTTATATCATAATTATACTGTATTTCGCTTACAATAAGATTATCATTTTTATTGCAAGCGAAATATACTTAATAAGAAATTGTTATTATTTATAAACTTAATAAATTTTACAATATATTAAGTTTAATGTTATACAGTATTTAGAGATGATATGTGTGATAGACTATCACTGATAGTATTGTAATTTATAATTCATATAATATATAATATAATTATTTTTATGTTAAAAGTAATTCAATTTAATTATCAATACTAATGAGGAGATAAATTTATTGAATAATTTATAGAAATTTTAAGATATTAAATTGAATACATTATAAAAAGTAAAATTGTATTTAATTAAATTTATGATTAAATATTTGTAATTATATATACAACTTGTTATACTGTATATATCACTGATTAGATTTATTTTTAAAATTTTTAAACTGATTTCAAAATACAGCAATAATTATTTTACACAACAAAATTAAAACATTTAATTAAATATGTATAGTAATAATTAATCAATTAACTGATTAATCATATAGTAATTGATTAATATTTGTTGTCATTTAAAATAAATGCATAAAATGCATAAATTTTGTTATATTATATAAAATTTTCAATTATCTAAATTTCCGTTTATTGCTGTTTTGACTCAAATTATATAAATAGTGTTGTATTGTATTGTATTGAGGTTTCAATATATTTGACTTTTCATTGGCCACCAATTGGCAACACTTATTAAAAATAAATGACTTTTTTGCCAAACATTTTTCAAACCGATTCATCAATTTTTCTCCAAAATGTGGTATTTTATCTCTTCCTTTAAAATATAATTATTAATTTTATTTGATTTTTAGAAAATAAAATAAAATAAAATACCATAAAATGAAAGTTTGCGATTATGGGCCCGATTTGCGTTTCGCTGTTGAATATTAAACTCATAAAACATTGCCCGACAGTGATAGCCCTTATCGGCAGCGATTCGGCCCAACAAACAACAGGCTGTATCCCTGTCCAGAGTTTCTATTGTTTTATGTCATTCAAATTATTTGAATATTATTTTAATTAAATTATTTTTTGTAAAACCTTTTATATGTTTCAAATTGAGAGAAGTGGGTAAATGTTTGAGGAATTGTTTGTAATTTGTTTTATTGTCTTGAAATTCAATATTTAATTTGTTTATATTCACAAATGTATTATCTTTTCCATACCTATAATCATTGGTATTGTTTTGTTGATCTATTTAATATTTATTATATTAAATATTAATATATATTACTAGAATTTACACAGAACTTAGTTATTTAAAAAAATGTATTATTTGAATTATTATTGTACAGTTATTATGATAATTTTTACTTAACAAAACTTAAAGAGCAAAATTGAAAAGTTTTTATATTGTAGTTATAGTATAACTAACAGTTATCTATTAAATAAACTTAGTTTTATGTAGTTTAATAATAAAGACTTATTTATTTTTACTATAATTTTAACTCCAAAATTTATTTATTCAATTTTATACTAATGAGTGTTAAATTTTAGTTTTTTATTCAGTATAATAACTATTTAAAGAATATAAACAATTTCTTAATTTATGTATTATTTTTATATCATTTGTCATTTTATTAGTCATTATTTTTTCTATTTTTTAATCTTAATATAGAAATGAGATAAAAGTTGTTAAATTTATAAGTAATAAAATATAATATTTTTTAATTATCAACTATTATAACATAAATTATAAAAACAATAAATAATGAAAAAAATTATAAACATACCTTCAATTGAATATATATTAAATGGCAAAATAAATTAATATAAGAAAGGTCAATTTTAAATATAAACTCATTTTTATAATATCAACTTAAATCGTTTATTTCAAATAGTGATATAATATTTAAAATCCTGTACTTTAATTTTATTGAAACATATTGTAAGATATTTACCCCTCCCCTGGATGTCCTTATTGGTCACTTGGATTGACCCACACCTACCTATTCCTACCTATAATTTCTATATATAATAAACTAACAATTACTTAAAAAGGGACTTCTATTCTAACCTCTACACTATACACATCATTGTTGTATTATTATTATACTGTATATTTTGTGCTACAATAAAACCTAACTATAACTACTAATTGTGTATTTTTTTAACTAATTTAAAACTAACCCTAACCTAACCCCCTCCCGACACCACACCACCCGAAGCCACGTTACATCTGGAGGTCCTACCGAGACCTACCGTATAGACTTGGCCACATCGAGGGTTGGGAACCTCAAGGGTCAGGCGGCCGGCACGAGCAGGTGCAACGGCCACTGCAGGAGGACGACCGTTCGCTAGTGGTTACAGTGGTAGGTCTCACGAACTCTGGCCGAAGGTGGTAAGTGAATAATTTATTCTTAATTGCTTTACTATCCACGAGTAGGTGAGATAGTTGTTCAGTGATACACGAGTAGGTGTAATCACTTAATTGCTTTGCTATCCACGAGTAGGTGAGATAGTTGTCTAGTGATACACGAGTAGGTGTAATCACTTAATTGCTTTGCTATCCACGAGTAGGTGAGATAGTTGTCTAGTGATACACGAGTAGGTGTAATCACTTAATTGCTTTACTATCCACGAGTAGGTGAGATAGTTGTTCAGTGATACACGAGTAGGTGTAATCACTTAATTGCTTTGCTATCCACGAGTAGGTGAGATAGTTGTCCAGTGATACACGAGTAGGTGTAATCACTTAATTGCTTTACTATCCACGAGTAGGTGAGATAGTTGTCCAGTGATACACGAGTAGGTGTAATCACTTAATTGCTTTGCTATCCACGAGTAGGTGAGATAGTTGTCCAGTGATACACGAGTAGGTGTAATCACTTAATTGCTTTGCTATCCACGAGTAGGTGAGATAATTGTCCAGTAATACACGGGTTAGCGTGAAATGCCAATGTCCTTAATTGGTGACAATCAAAACCCCGTCGAAGAAGAAGAGGTAATTACAATGGAAAATATTAGAGATATAGTAAATGAAGTAGTTAGTGGAGGATTATCCTCACTAGGAAACCTTCGAGTTTCTAGTTATGATGGAGAAATAAGTGAGAAAGCCCAGGAATGGGTAGATGACTTTATTGACGCAACCAATCTAAAGGGTTGGAATGATGATAAGCGATTTCGTAATTTCAATCAGTTTTTGACAGGAAACGCAAAAAATTGGTATAAACTGTATGTAAGACTAGCGGGAAATAATGCCCCTGGAGATTGGGGGGCTCTTAGACAGCAATTCATTGATTATCATATGCCAACAGATAGAGATAATGTATTGCGCGAAAAATTAGTAGATAGAGAACAAGGAAGGAATGAGGATGTAGATAAGTACATTACAGCAAAGCGATTACTTTGCTTAGAATATAAAGAAAATATGAATGAAAATGAGCAAATTGGATTTATCATAGAGAAATTACTTCCTGAAATACACGAGAAAATTTATCAAGGTAACACCAATACTATTGCGAATCTAATGATTAATGCCCGTAATATTCAGAAAGGCATGAGAAAAGCTGACCTTAGAAAGACCAGTAACCGAACTTATGAAGATAACGAAAATACATTAAAAAACTTAAGCAAACAATTAGATAAACTTTGTGTCAAATTAGACCAGAATTATGATAAAAATGAGAGATCAACACAGAGTCACAGATACGATAGATTCGGAAGACGAATAGAGAAATTTAATAATTTTAATTATAAACCCGATAGTAAGTTTGGACGATCGAGCGATCCGATCACAAGGACAGAACAAAGTCCAAAAAGACATTATATCCCGAACCGAGACCTAACTCCACGTAGACACTTGACCCCAAGTAGAGATAGATATCATGATAGATACTCTAATTCAGTTAATGACTCATCTAGAGAAAGAGATAATTCAAATCACGCTAGTAGAGAGTCGACTCCAGAAAGGACTAATGGTACCAATTCAAACAATTATAGAAACAATTTTTATAGAGATAGATCACAATCACCAAGAAACTTTCAATACCACACAGACAAAAGCACATACCAGACTTCAGTCAATAGAGATAATGACGGAAAGCATGTAGAGTTCGACATAGCGAGGGAGAGAAGTAAATCTCGTAACTTTATTGGAGATATTAGATGTTATGTATGCGGTAAAGTTGGACATTATGCACGCGATTGTTCTCAAAAAAAGTTATATGTTAATAGTCTATTCAGTTCCTCAGATACTGAATCCGATACCATAATAAAACACGAGTTGATGTATTATGAGATAACAATCAACAATTATCCAATTAAAGCGTTGATCGACACGGGTTCAGAGGTGTCATTAATAACCCCAAAAATGTGTCGTAAATTAGGTCTAAAAATCACTCCAATTACTATCGAAAATCTTAAAGGAGTTAACGGCCTACCAGTCAGTGTGATAGGTCAAACTAATCCCGAAATCATACTTTCAATAGGTAGCCAAAGTAAGCATCTAAATATTAAAGTCTTTGTTGTAGAGTCGATGCATTTTAAAATATTATTGGGAAATGATTACATTTGTAAAGCTGGTGTCCTAATAGATTGTAAAAACCTCTCATTATTGTGGTCAGATTTAGTATTGAATACAAAAAATCCCGATATCAATTTTAATCTATTGGACGATACGGCAATAAATGTATCTCAATCAGTTAATAGAGACATTATCTATATGAATAGTGTTATAGCAAACGATGCGATAGACGTATTTGAATACAAAAAACAGTTGTTGATAAATAATGACAAGCCTATTAACTCAGAAACTTTGAGCCTAAAAGACTGTTCATATTGTAATTTTGCTAATCACGAATTTGATGAGTGTCCGAATAAAGAGTTATATTGCATGAATGAAGTGTATAGACACGTGATTGATAAAGAAAGGCATTTCTATTGTAATTTGGTTTCAGAAAATACCAAAATAATCAAACCCATAAGAGGTATACTAAAAAATAAAATAAAAGGTATTGAATCAAAATTTCAAATTAGTACTGACCTGAGTGTTGAACATCAAATTGCATTAAATAATCTATTAGAGGATTATACAAATATATTTGCTTTCGATAAAAGTAAACTCGGTTTATGTAGAGTTGAAAAGTTTACATTCAATTTAAAAAATGAAAATCAAATTCCCATAAAACACCCCCCTAAACAATATTGTGAATCTAACAAAGAGATAATAAATAATATGATCAAAGGCTGGATTGACCAAGGGATAGCTGAACCCTGCACTAGCCCATATGGTTCACAAGTCGTACTAGTAGACAAAAAATCTTTGGATAAAAATGGAAAACCAGAAAAAAGGTTATGTGTTGACTATCGAATGCTTAACAATATTACGGTAGACGATGTCTTTCCCATACCTGATGTTCAGACATGTTTAAGGTCGTTCGCCAAAGCAAAATATTTTACAATTATTGACCAAAATAATGGATATATGCAATTTGAAGTTGATCCTAAAATCAAACAAATGTTAGCGTTTAGAACTGAGGACGGATTATACACCTTCAATAGATTGCCATTTGGTCTGAAACAGGCCCCCAGTTTCTTTATGAGAGCGATGCATAAAATATACGGAGATTTAGTAGGTAAAGTTATTATTGTTTACTTTGATGACGGAGTCATATTTTCAGAGACATTTGAAGAACACTTGTGCCATTTAAGGAAAATATTCACATGCTTGCAGAACACAGGTGTTACCTTAAAACCTACTAAATGCTCATTTGGACAAAATTGTATAGGATTTCTAGGTTACCTAATATCAGAGACAGGCATTCAGACTGATCCTGAAAAGGTTAAATGTATTGAACAGTATCCTATTCCTCATACACTGCGAGCTGTACGTTCCTTTATTGGATTTGCTGGGTTCTATAGAAGGTCAATAAAAGATTTTGCAAAGATAGCTGAGCCATTGACTCGATTAACAAAGAAAGTCAAAGATAAAGACTTAGACCATTGTATTAATAAAAGAACCAGAAAATGCGATGAAGGTCGTATTTTTCAATGGGGTCCTGAGCAACAACTCTCCTTTGATACAATAAAACAAGCATTATGTAATGCACCTATCCTTGTGCATTATGACAATAAATTACCTGTAGAAATACACACAGATGGATCACTAATAGGTGTTAGTGGTGTATTGTACCACGTCATTGATAATAAACTTAAACCATTTTGTCATCAAAGCT